ATAAATATGTATGACTCATTAGTGCAGAGAAAATAAGCTTTATACAATCTTGTTGTGGAAGCAATAAAAGCGACAGACTGCATAATAAAGGTTCACATACAAGTGGCAATATAAAGTGATGTTCTTTTGCATTAAGATTTCATGCATCCAACCCTAAACGCACATGACAACCTCTGCTTCCCTCTGCGAAGGGCCTATCTTTTACTTTATGTTTTTACTTTATGCTTGAGTCAAGGTGATTTCCACCTTTCCCTTTTTCATTTTATCCTTTGGCAAGCTCCTCGTGTTTGAAAGATCATGATACATATATCCAATTGGGTGTAAGTTAGCATGGACTATTATTGTTGACATCACCTAAAGGTGAATACGTTGGGAGGCAACAGAATAAGCCCCTATCTTTCTCAGTGTCCGGCTGAAACTCCATAACCACAAGTATTGCGTGAGTGTTAGCAATTGTACAAGACTACATGATAGTTGAGTATGTGGACTTGCTGAAAAGCTCTATTCTTGACTCTTTCTGATGTTATGATAAATTGCAATTGCTTCATTGACTAAGATTATAGTTTGTTAGCTCCCAATGAAGTTTCTGAACCATGCTTGACATTGCGAATTGATCGTTACTTGAGCATAAGAATTCATATGATAAAATCTATATATGTTGCTGTTATAGGAATGATCATGATGCCCTCATGTCCGTATTTTATTTTTATCGACACCTCTATCTCTAAACATGTGGACATATTTTTCGATTTCGGCTTCCGCTTGAGGACAAGCGAGGTCTAAGCTTGGGGGAGTTGATACGTCCATTTTGCATCATGCTTTTATATCAATATTTATTGCATTATGGGCTGTTATTACACATTATATCTCAATACTTATGGCTATTCTCTCTTATTTTACAAGGTTTACCATGAAGAGGGGAAATGGCGGCAGTTGGAATTCTGGCTGGAAAATGAGCAAACATTGGAAACCTATTCTGCACTGCTCCAAAAATCCTGAAACTCCATGAAACTTATTTTTGAAATTAATAAGAATTATTGAGCGGAAGAAACACCTCAGGGGGCCCACGCACTGGCCAGGAGGGTGGGGGGCGCGCCCACCCCTACTGGGTGTGCACCCTGTCTCCTGGGCCCCCTAGTGGCCCTCCGGTGTCCATCTTCTGCTATATGAAGGCTTGTACCCTGGAAAAAAATCAGGGGCAAGCTTACGGGACGAAACTCCGCCGCCACAAGGCGGAACCTTGACGGAACCAATCTAGAGCTCCGGCAGAGCTGTTCTGCCAGGGACACTTCCCTCCGGGAGGGGGAAATTATCACCATCGTCATCACCAACGATCCACTCATCGAAAGGGGGTCAATCTCCATCAACATCTTCACCAGCATCATCTCCTCTCAAAACCCTAGTTCATCTCTTGTATCCAATCTTGTATCCAAACCACAAATTGGTACCTGTGGGTTGCTAGTAGTGTTGATTACTCCTTGTAGTTGATGCTAATTGGTTTACTTGGTGGAAGATCATATGTTCAGATCCTTAATGCATATTATTACTTCTCTGATTATGAACATGAATATGCTTTGTGAGTAGTTACGTTTGTTCCTGAGGACATGGGTGAAGTCTTGCTATTAGTAGTCATGTGAATTTGGTATTCGTTCGATATTTTGATGAGATGTATGTTGCCTTTCCTCTAGTGGTGTTATGTGAACATCGACTACATGACACTTCACCATTATTTGGGCCTAGAGGAAGGCATTGGGAAGTAATAAGTAGATGATGGGTTGCTAGAGTGACAGAAGCTTAAACCCTAGTTTATGTGTTGCTTTGTAAGGGGCTGATTTGGATCCATATGTTTAATGATGTGGTTAGGTTTACCTTAATACTTTTTTTGTAGTTGCGGATGCTTGCAATAGGGGTTAATCATAATTGGGATGCTTGTCCAAGTAAGGCCAGTACCCAAGCACCGGTCCACCCACATATCAAATTATTAAAGTACCGAACGTGAATCATATGAGCGTGATGAAAACTAGCTTGACGATAATTCCCATGTGTCCTCGGGAGCTCTTTTCTCATTATAAGAAATTGTCCAGGCTTATCCTTTGCTACAAAAAGTATTGGGCCACCTTGCTGCACCTTATTTACTTTCATTGCTTGTTACTCGTTATAATTTATCTTATCACAAAACTATCTGTTACCTACAATTTCAGTGCTTGCAGAGAAAACCTTACTGAAAACCGCTTATCATTTCCTTATGCTCCTCGTTGGGTTCGACACTCTTACTTATCGAAAGGACTACGATAGATCCCCTACACTTGTGGGTCATCAGACCACGACGTCCTGGTCGCTGTCGCCGCCTTGGGCGCTGAGCACGGCGTCCCGACCTCTGCTTCCACCTTCGGCGCCTGCCACAGCAGTCCGGGCTCTTCTTCCACCCTCGGCGCCTACCAGGTCGACCCGCACCTTGTCTCCAAGTTCGCCGCCTACCCCGGTGACCCGGGTCCTGCCTCCGCCTTCGCGGCCTCCCGCAACGACCCGCGCCTGCTGATGCCAACTCACCATGGCCCGGAGGATTTCCAGCCCAAGCTCACCTGACTTGTGGGCCCATCTTGTTAGAAAGGCGTTTAGAAGAGGCGAATCGGGCACTTTACCAACATGGTAGTTTTTAGTCACAGATTAGCAAAAAAAATGGTGGTTTTCGGTACAAATTCGTAAAGTGGTAGTTTCTGGGCACGTTTCCATGGAATGTGGTAGTTTTTGGTTAAATACTCTATTTTTGAGCATGCTCCTAGAGAGACTAATTGTGCGGCCCATGATTTAGCGAAACTAACTACAAGTAAGATGTGTGCCGGATAAATGGAAGATCCACCCATAGAGATTGTTGATACCCTTGTAAAAGGTAATATGGTGATCACGTTGCAATAAAGAGTACTTTTATGTAAAAAAAATCCTCATCTCCCGGAGTCTAAAAAAATCAATTCCTCATCTCCTAACATAGTCACGAAAAAAGTAACGCCGCTATAGCATCGCTAGTAGCACACTATAACATTTCGAGCAATGACTCGCTAAATAAATTGATGTATAAAATCTTGTTAATAGCGTATTTTAAGGGTCATGCTATTTTATCATAGCACCCTATTTTTTTCCAATGTAACATAGTGACAGAAGCATTAGAATGGATGGCGGCGCTTATTTTTTAGTTAGTATTCCTGGCTCCGGTCTTCTTCAAGTTCGTCCATCAGGACAGATTAGACGGAGCTCTTACATAGATTCCTGCTAGCTCCTCAAGAGGGCGAGGTTAGGGTTTCTTGTTATGTGTATGTGACAACAATATTTGGTGTCGGTCTCTTGGAATCGATTCAAGAGCTCAACTATGACGATTATGGCTCCAGAGCACTGGTCCTTAGGGGCATATGTATGAAGACTTCTCAGCTATTATTGACAAGGTGAGGCCGCCTCCAGTATTGGAGCGGCAGCGGCGACGCGTCGATAGCTCGTTCTGACGGCAATAGTGGTCATTCGGTGGTCCAATGACCTCAATGTAATTTACTATGTTTTGTGTGGTTTGTACTTCCGGTCAACCTTTAGAATAGGTCTTTATAGTAGACCCGAGTCATTTTCACAAAACAATATACCACAAAAATTCAATATCATTAGGTTCATCAAGAAATCTGTGAGACAACTAAGGAATCCATTGCATTACATTCCATAGGAAATTTTCCATCCGCAAAAACCTCTGAAGGACTTGTTGGAAAGAGGGGTTCAAGCCCCTAGGGGTTGGGGATTGCAAGGGATTTTGTGATCCCTCATCTTCACCCAAGCCCCTCAATTCCCCTAACATCCCCAATCCTCTCTCTAGAAAACATGTTTGGTAGATGAACGTGGGGGCTGGCCCTCGCAAAATTGTTTTACCAAATGATGATTCGTGATTTCCCTGGTTTTTGGACCCTTCCAGGATAATCCCCTATAAACCTCCTCAGATCTATTGTACCAAACAAGGCAAAATAGACGCCGTGACGACCACCAGCAACCTGAGTTGGATCGGCCCAGTTTGGGGCCTTTTCTCATGGTTTTTCTATTAGTTGACGCTTTTCTGATAGTTTCCTGTTGTGGTTTTTAATTTTCTAATACACGGTGAACAATTTTTTAATGCATGATACGAATTTTTTTAAATACATACTTAACTTTTTTTATTCATCAAACATTTTTAATATACAGTGATTTTTTATAAATATGATGGCCATTTTAAAATATAGATTGAACATTTGTTAATATATACTAGTGATTTAAAAAATACACACTGAACAATTTTCTAAAATACTTATTAATTTTTAATAGGTTTCTAAATATCTAGCGTTGACATCCTCCTCCGTCACCAGGTGCACATGGAAAACAGCCCAAAATATCTCAGAGAGATAGGGAGCCAATACGTACTACTAGTAGGTGCACATGGAAAAAGTCGTGACATGATCCGTCCCTGTGTCCCTCCCAGCAGCCCAGCGCAGTGAAGAAAGCGAGTAAAAGCAGATCGGATGTGCAGAGAACACTGCGTGGGAACTTACACTCAGTGCAGCAGGAGCGATGCTTCCTTTCAATCAACTCTATCTATATAATAAATAAACAAACAATAGAGAAGAACATATACACGTAGCAGATGTTGAAAACCATGAACAAGCCATCCCCAATAATTCGCTCTCTCCAATCCATCCGGGTGCAGCTAGATGAGGTGAGGTGGCGCAAGAGCACCCACCCGAATTGGCATCGGAAACGGCATATCTCCACCTAGGCATGCCACCTCGCGACGGAGACGCTGCTATAATCGGCAAATGGCAAAACTAATCTCAATCACCGAAAGCACCAACCCTACCCTGGAAGAAATCAGTCGGCAACAGCGACCGGCGGACGACGCCTCGCCGTGCCGACATGGATAAAGTCGCGACGACGTAACCACCTTCTCCAGTTTAGGAGTATAAACCCCGGCGCACACCCCCTGCGCAGGAGGAAATCCCATGCCCGCAGCCAATCCCGCGCCCCACCTCCACTTGGCAGAGCTCAACAGCTTCCCCCCTCCCCGCTCCTGCCTTCCCTTCCTCGTGAGGCGGGCCGGGATCCCTTCCGAAACGGCTCTGAGGCGACGCGCACACTGTCATTCATCCCGCAGATCCACGCACAACCACCTGAATAATTTACAGATCCCGGAGCGGATTTCGCACGGGAACCCGCCGCAGCCCACCCGCCGCCTCATCCTCCTCCTCCTCGTCGTCGTCGTCCTAGGGGCCATGGGGAACAGTATTTACAAGTTCCTGTGCGGGGTGTGCTCGGACCTGTCCGACGCCGCCTTCCAGCCGCATGGCGCGGACGCCTCCGTCGCCGCGCTCGGCCGCGACATCCTCGAGTTCCAGCGCACCAAGCAGGTCCCCGAGGGCCTCGGCCGCCACGTCGTCTCCTCCGCCGCCGCGCAGGCCAACTGGTACTACCTATAATTCCGCTTCCCCTTTGATTGATTTCGTGTTCTGAACTTCCGATTCATTGCCGAGCTCCTTCCAGCAATTTTGTGTTCCGAGTACCAGTAGTTTAACTCGGAGCTGACGACGAGCTCGCCGTCGAAGATCCAGAAACAGCTCGCTGTCGAACGTGGAGGATGCGAAGGCGAGCTAGCTTCGAGGTGTCCAATTGCGAAAGCGACCACATCTGAAAGAAGAATTGGATAAAAGAAATTAGGTGGAACCATTTGTTAAAAGGACGCAAGTAACTGGGATATTTGGTTGAGAAAATTAAGCGTTAAGGATTTATTTATTTTACTTTTTGTTCATGACAGAACCTCAGATGGGTGCGATAACTAATTAACTACCGTAGTTACCGGTAAACCAGACAATTAAGAACTCAGTGATATTACTGAGATGTTTCCTAGCAGTTGCTAACCCTTGCAGTAGGAGGTACTGATATGTTTCCTGGAACTGATTGTGAACATTCGTAGAAGAAGGTTGTGTGTAGTGTGTGTCAGTGAAAAAGTTCTGCAACGCGCTATGATTATTTCTTACAGAATTGAAACCGTTGGTGTTGCCGCTGTTGTGAAGGTACAAGAAGCTGCAAGTGGCATGGAAGAAGGCGAGGCCGGCCCCGACGACGCCGGAGGAAGCCGGCCGCCTCGTGGTGCTGACGCTCAAGAACCACCAGAAGGCGGACGTCGACGGCCTCCTCGCCTTCTACGGCCTCCCGCACCCGAACGAGGCGGGATCGGCGCCACCGCCGGCCGCCGGTCACCACGCTCCTCCGGCCCAGCACAGCGCCCCCGCGCACAAGCCCCAGGGCGTCAAGTTCGAGCTGCACACGCTCCCGGTGGACGCCAAGGCGGTGGCCGACGGCGACACGGTGACGGTGTACGTGGACACGAATGACGCCCCCAGCGAGATCAAGAAGGCCGCGGCGGAGCGCACCAAGGCGCGCGCCGCCAGGAACTTCCCCACGGCCGACGCGCTCCAGAAGACCATCGCCGACGCCGGGTACAGGATGGTTCCCAACGCCAAGGGCGCCGAGGTGCTCGCCAAGAAGTACAGGATCAGGCTAAGGTTAGTCTTGTTGCGCCACGCCATTGTTCCGGCGATCAAGATTGGTCTGAATAAGTTTTGATGAGATGAAATGGGGGATGGGATGCAGTGGGATCGACGCGCCGGAGAGCGCGATGCCGTACGGGAAGGAGGCCAAGGAGGCGCTGCTGAAGCTGGTGGAGGGCAAGTGCCTGACGGTGCACGTCTACAACACCGACCGCTACGGCCGGTCCGTCGGGGATCTCCACGTCGGCGGGGTCTTCGTGCAGGTGAGAAACCAATTAAGAACCCATACCTTCAGCTTCAGTCTTCAGAACACCTCAACGCGTGGAAGCAACTTAGAAAGAACTCCAACATCAATTTCTTGCCATCTACGGCATGTCAGTTTGCATTCTTGTACTGTACTAGTTTAATAGTGCTGTGTCACACTAGTAGAAGCGAACTTAAACAAACTGTTGCTTCTGCATTCTGCTAGGAACACGTTCAGAAACAGTTAGTAGGCCTTTTCTGAAAGTCAACCGCTCTACAAAAACTTCAGAAGATAACAAATTCCCTCTTGCTTTGTCCGCAGGAGCAAATGCTGAAGAAAGGCTTCGCGTGGCACTACACCGCCTACGACAAACGCCCGGAGCTTGCCAAGGTAAAATCATCACCAGTCCACACACAGCTACACGCACTACACTGATCACCTGACTGAAAAACGAACCATGGAGAGGTTAATTATGAAGTAGTAATATGGAATCAAATCATGAAGTTGCTGACAGAAACTAATCCTCTGTTTGATCCACCTGCAGTGGCAGAGCCAGGCGCAGGCCGCCCGCAAGGGCCTGTGGGCGGCGTCCAAGCCGCAGGAGCCGTGGGAGTACAGGAAGGCCAAGCGCAACGGCAACGCGTGATCCGTTTCCACAGGCCGCAAGCCTCGAGACATATGTTGTAACTGTTGTGTGCATGTGCTGTGACCATGGACGGCTGATTGATTGATTCGTGGCCTGCTGCGCTGCAGATCCGTAGCCCAGAGCAGCGCTCGCACCACTGTACTTTTTACAAGTTAGGTGTAGTGAAAGGACTAGCTAAGCTAGAACAGGGTCGTGAAGCAGAGGAGGCCGGGGCACATTGAGATTGGTTGGTGTTGTGTTGTTGTTGTTGTACCTCGTGATTGATTTGTGTGATTGTGTTGTACAACTCTTACTTGGATTGGACTGTTGATGTTGTTTTCTAACAGATTTTTCTTTTCGTGTTTTGATCCTGGTTTTTTTTTGACATTTGACCCTTTTCTTATCACCAGGGGCTCGGCGGTAGGAGTACCTAGCCTACCGCCAGAACCTTTGGCGGTAGGGTAACGGCAGCCGCCGGCCCGTCAACAGCCAGAAGCTGACCTGGCAGACGACCTACCGCCAGCACCTTCGGCGGTAAGATATGCAATCCTACCGCCACGGGACCCGGCGGTAGGGTGTGCAACCCTACTATAGAATAACCGTGACTTCTGGTCATAGTACGCAGAGCCGTGGAGTGAGGCTCCCTACCGCCGGAGGCCCTGGTGGGGTTGTGCAACCCTACCGCCACGAGCCCCGGCGGTAGGGCTTGATCATAGTGCATTTTTTGCACTGAACTTTGATTTTTTTTTCGGTATTTTTGCCACAACAATTTCATACACTTAATAACAATAATACCAAATAGCACAGATGCACACATCCACACATGTATAAACTAAGAAACATAATAGTTCATGAAACATCGCACACATCCACACATGTAGCAAAAAGTTTAACTAGTTCAACAAAGAGCAAATGATTCAACAAATCCTACATTCTTAAAAAGTTGATCCCCACTACTAGCAATTCTCTCAACATGCATAATGTCCACATCAGCATGGTGCCACATCAGCGTTTAGTTTACAAAACCAACCAATCAGTCTGGTTTCGGTCTACCATGTCACTCCTAATAATCTCCCGTGATTTTTCCCATCTCCACGGACCCTTCTTCTCCTGTACGCTTCACTTTGTCTTCTCCATTATTTGTTTGATACCCTTCCTCTTCATCTTCCCCGATGTCCACTCAAGTACTAAAAGGATTGATGAATTTGCTCCATCCTCCACATATTCTCCAAGCAAGAGTAGCAGATGGATTCGTTATAGTAGCTCCGCTCGCCTTCAAGCAGTGGTACATGGAGCAGCCCCTACCATCGTCTCCGCGGCAACTGCTGGCTGCAACCATCCCTCCTCGATTGAAATCTCAACCTATCATCCCCGGTGAGCCATCCCCTTCTTCTTCTCCATCTTTTCGATTGCATCTGTCTCCACCCCTCCCTGGTTTCTCCCTCGGCAAGTCAACGTGTTGTCTCTATCTTCTCTATGGGGTCTGTCTCCACCCAGAGCATAATTTCTGATTCACAGGTTTCTCCCTTGATAGGATGAATTTGCTGCCTCGGTCGTCCACTCACGGTACCACGCATGCTTGATGGGATGATTCTCGAGGCCAATCCATCACAGAAGTCTGGTTTCAATTCGCCTACTGTATCAGGTTTCATCCAAATCCCCCTCTTCGCAATACTCTTGTACATTGTCTAGCTGCTTTACCGCCACACTATCTAGCAGTTAGTTGAGCTATCGATTATTATTTTCTTAGTCAATGTTCTGGGTATATCTAATTGACAATTATGTTGTGCATTCTGACACTATCTTTTTGGATTGTGACTCATATTCTGTTTTGGCACAGTCGGAAAAAAAGTGCATGGTTTAAACCATATTTATCTTCATTGCAGGTTATCCAAAAGATTACAGGTTTAAACCATGATGAGATATTGCAGGTTATCCAAAAGACATGGCAGTGCAATAGGGGATCCGACACATGGCTCACAATAGGTAATCCCAAGTTATTATGATATTTTTTTTCATTAACATTAATGTTTCAGTTGATGTGAATAAAATTTTCACGATCGCACAAATTTTAATTTTTTGCTGGTAAGACGATTACACAATTTGCATCCAAAAACTATTGCATCAAGTCTAATTCATGTGTCTGACAAAAAGTAGTACATTAGCATATACATTTAATAAAAAATACACTTAACCAACTAATAACTTCTGACTGATCCAGTTGTCATCTTCTCATGTGTAAAAGTACACATATTTGTCTCATCACAATTTTTACAATTACATAACAATGTTTCAACTTTGATAAATATTATCGTCAAAACATGCTATTTTCCTTTGAATGCAGATTTTTCCAAGATGGCATATTTATGATTTCCTCATGGTATTTGCGTGTGACTTTGCTCAATAGCTAAGTTCAAATATTTTTAGTCATTTCATATTTGTTGTTGTTCCGGGGAGTTGACAAGTGGAAGACCTTCTTTACTATATAGCCATTCATAGTAATTAGAATGGACCCTGAAAAGAACGATGAATCTGAAATAGGGTAGGGAATTTGTTTGCACGCTCAACGGAAAAGTTAATTGTATGGACAATTTCATAAGCTTTCACAATGTACCCCTATTGCATGCTTTCTTCTCCTTGCTAATCAAACGATAGAGCTGCAGCGTTGACCCAACCAGGCATCATCTAACGCAAGCAACGTCGCAAAATCGAGGATGCTCGCGAAGGCGGGTCGCCCAGAAGCCTTATAGGTTTAAATATTGTCTCTTGAAGTAGTTTGGCATAATAATGTACTATGATATTGTTCATATTTTTCCTATCTACTACTAAGAAAAATCACAACAAGTTCCCGCAGCAACGCGCGGAGTATCTTCTAGTACTAAATAGTTTCACGTAGCAAACATAAGAAGTTTAACTAGTTCAACGATCCTCGGCAACATAAAAAGATTCACTGCCTCCTTCCCCTCTTCGAGGTACGGTCCTCGTTATTCTTTGATTGCTTCCCGGTCGCCTTCTTCTTGCGGTGAGGAGGACGTGGTTTCTGAAATGGGGATGGACTTTCCCAATCCCTATTCGGCGCATTCCTCTTCTCAAGCTAGGTTGCCTGAGTTGGTGGAGGTCTGTCATGTCGTCGTACTCCTCCTCCTCATCGCTCTCTTCCTCTTCTTCCCCATGTTCTTCTTCTACTCCCTCCTTGTCCTCTTCTTCATCTTCACCTTCTTTGTCCTCGTCCTCCTCCTCGTCCTCCGGAACCACCCTAGACGACGAGGCGGCCTGGCTCGATGAAGCGAGGCTACGCATCGGGGCTGAAGGAGCAAAAGCATCAAAAGAGGAGGTAGCGCACCCAAGCAGGCCCACAAGCTTGCGACATTTGTTGATGAACTTTTGCAATAAGAACGAAACAAGAACATAATATGGATCAAGTTTATGGTTAAAAACGAAAATGAACTTAAGAAAGAATGTAATTGTAGGAGGCTCGATGTTACCTTCACTGTTCCTCTCAACTTGTTCTCACTCTCGAGTCCTGGGGATAGAACTTAGCGCATCTGAGGCGTCAAAAATGCTTTTGTTCAGCTCCGAAGACTGCAAAACAATAAATGAGTCACACTCACTAAAGTAGATGAAGGAAATATGCCCTAGAGGCAATAATAAAGTTGTTATTTTATATTTCCTTATTCATGATAAAAGTTTTTTTCATGCTAGAATTGTATTGGTCGGAAACTTAAATACATGTGTGAATACATAAACAAATACCGTGTCCCTAGTAAGCCTCTATTAGACTAGCTCGTTGATCAAAGATGGTTAAGGTTTCCCAACCATAGACATGTGTTGTCATTTGATAACAGGATCACATCATTAGGAGAATGATGTGATGGACAAGACCCATCCGTTAGCTTAGCATAATGATTGTTCAGTTTATTTCTATTGCTTTCTTCATGTCAAATACATATTCCTTCGACTATGAGATTATGCAACTACCCGATACCGGAGGAATACCTTGTGTGCTATCAAATGTCACAACGTAACTGGGTGATCATAAAGATGCTCTACAGGTATCTCCGAAGGTGTTTGTTGAGTTGGCATAGATCGAGATTAGGATTTTTCACTCCAAGTATCGGAGAGGTATCTCTGGACCCTCTTCCAAGAAAATGACTAAGGATTTAGTTATGAGATGATGTATTACGGAACGAGTAAAGAGACTTGCCGGTAACGAGATTGACTAGGTATGAAGATACCCACGATCGAATCTCGGGCAAGTAACATACCGACAGACAAAGGGAATTACGTATGTTGTCATAAAGGTTCGACCGATAAAGATCTTCCTGGAATATGTAGGAACCAATATGGGCATCCAGGTCCCGCTATTTGTTATTGACCGGAGAAGAGTCTCGGTCATGTCTACATCATTCTCGAACCCGTAGGGTCCGCACACTTAACGTTCGTTAATGATATAGTATTGTATGAGTTATGTATGTTGGTGACGTAATGTTGTTCGGAGTCCCGAATGAGATCACGTACATGACGAGGAGCTCCGGAATGGTCCGGAGGTAAAGATTGATATATGGGATAATAGTGTTTGATCTCTGGAAGGGTTCCGGAATTCACCGAAAGGGGTTACAGATGTTTCCCGAAATGTTTGGGCACGAGAACACTTTATTTGGGCCAAAAAGAAAAGCCCACGAGGCTTTTGGAAAGTGCAAAAGAAAGTTTTGCGGAGGCCAGACACCAGGGACCCTGGCGCCTGGGTCCAGACGCCGGGAACCCTGGCGTCTGGCCCTGGAGTCCGAGAAGGACTCTTGCCTTTCGGGCAAAACCGGCTTTGAGGAGGCTTTTACTCCAAGTTTCGACCCCAAGGATCAACATATAAATAGAGGGGGCAGGGCTAGCACCCGGGAGACATCAAGATTCACCAAGCCGTGTGTCGGCAACCCCGTCCCCTCTAGTTTATCCTCCGTCATAATTTCCGTAGTGCTTAGGCAAAGCCCTGTGGAGATTGTTCTTCACCACCACCATTACCACAA